CAATTGGGTTCTCATGAGACGCTAGCATTGTTGTGTCGTCGGCATAGGTGGCAAGCATTGTTTGTCCGGTTTCTGGCAAGTCAGCCGTATATATGGAGTATAGCATAGGCCAAAGGATACTTCCCTGCGGAACTCCGGATAAGACAGGGTATAATTGGATATAGGCTTCGTAGTATTTAACTAAAAAAGTTCTGTCGGTAAGATAAGACTTTAATACAGAACACATTGGATGTGGAAGAACGGACTTAAGTTTGTAAAATTAGCGTGTGTGCCAAACTTTATCTAAGGCTTGGCTTATATCAACACATATAGCTGAGCAGTAGCGCATGTTTTCAAAATCACTATGGATTTGGTTTACTAATCGATGTATTTGTTTGATCGTTCCGTGACCTTTTCTGAAGCCAAATTGATGTGTAGGTATGAGCTGATGATCGTCGATTTCAAGTACTAACGGTTTGAGCAGTATTTTTTCCAATACTTTGGAGAGAATCGGTAGGAGACCAATGGGTCTATACGATGCAACATCGTTTGGATTGTTATTTTATATGAAATTTCTTTCTTTATATATATGGGACGATAAAAACATCCTGGGCAAATAAGACCAAAGTTTGTTCACAGCGCTGGAAGAGTTCTGCACTTCCAGTGACCAAGTTAACTGGATTATAGACTGTGACGAAAAGCACGAAACTGTACTTACTTGGGGTAGAGTCGGGGGTGGCCAATCATGACGTAGCGGTTAATAGTGATGGCCAGGACTGTGAAGAGCGACACAGCCACAAGGCCGTAGCGGGTCAGAGGGAAGAGTTGGCACAGCAGTTTGCCATGACGCCAGGCGCGTTGCCAGAACGTGGAGGCAGCCAGAGGCAGGTTGAAACAGCAGAACATGAGGTCGGAGACACTCAGGTTGATGATAAACACTGCGGTGGCGTTCCGGACCTGCGAACAGGAGATGCATTAGTGACACATTGCCATCAGAAGGCTTCCAGCACCACAATATATCCTTTCATTCACTTGCTCAATGGATGTTGTCTGAGACGGACACAGAATGTCCGAGAACGAGAGCATACGTATGGTTTTCACCACATGACGACGAGAATGTCAACGTTTTACATACAATGCTTGTTCTACAAGCGCTCATGACTTTGCACACGCGTCAGTTTCAGGGCATGTGAACACCGGATGGACATTGTGCGAGCAACAAAAGATGTTCATGTCGAAGCGCAGTTAAATGGAACACAGTGGGGCAAAAACTGAGTAGGTGTTTCATGTTGTCAAACTGTACTCTCCTAGATCTGTTCATTTTATCGTCAAAGATATTTAAAATGTATGCACCCTTTCTCGGACATGCTGTACATCATTTGTTTGTATTAATTAGACCATGTGCTCGGCTGTGATTCAGGACTGATCATAAAGCAACGGATTGTTTAGACACGTCCTTGTAGTGGGTTCAGGTAANTCAAACCAAATGTATATGATGAAGTCGCCATTTTCAGTGGTACTGTGTTACTGAGAGCCACTCTTTCAATTAAACTAACTTCATGGAGCTGAGCCCTTCTTCTGAAGCCGCCAATTGTGCAGCTACTCAAGCATTTCTCAGCGTTTTATGGAACTCGAAGGTTCGTTACCGTGTTCATGAAATCTCTCCACTGGTCCCCATCCTGAGCCAGATCGATCTAATCCATAACACACTGTCATATCTCTCTAAGATCCATTTTAATATCGTCCAGCTGTTACAATTACATAAATTATACAGCCACAAGTTGACGGATGGGTTCTAATGATGAATCCGCAAGCGTTTTCAAAGAATGGGCGGTGTCCTATGGTAATAACTGAGGATAGACAGAAAAGTATAAATGGAGACAGAAGTCATCAGGGCCGAATTTAGTTAGTTTTTTTTTTTTTTTTGGTTCTTGGGGTGGGGTGAGACTGAGTCCACTTGGTACGTCGGCCACTAACTGGCTTATTGTACCAGCCCTGTATAATAGATAATGGTAATTATGGAGCAATTGGTGGAACGAAGATTGGCAGCAGAAACCGAAGTACTCAGAGAAAACCTACCCAAGTACAACTTTGTTCACCACAAATCCCACATGACCTGACCTGGGCTCGAACATGGGCCGCCGCAGTGGGAAGCCGACGACTAACCGCCTGAGTTGTGGTACAGCCCTCCTGGCCGAGTTTCTAATCTCAGACCTCCTGGATACAAAAAAACTACAAAAACCATTCTACCGCGAAGTGCCCGAAGTATTCAAAGTTATAGAGAAGTTCATGGCCATATTTTGATTGCTGTAGTGTCTACAAATCTTAACGTAGGGAACCTGCCCTTTCCTCTGGAATACAGGTCACATCGTGTTCAGAGCAACTGACGTCATATCCGGGTCACGCATGAAGGCAGACTGCTGTTCTAATAATAATCATCGCCAAAGAATAAGTATGGAGGTAATGAAGTTGTGTGGACTGGATAATCGGACGAGACACGTCGCGACTAAAATAACCTGCAAGCCGTCCCGTCGGCAAATTACGCAAATGCAATAACAACTTAATTACTGGCCGTATCACCAGAGAGAACGACGGATGCCTGTTAGTAGGAACAAATATTAAGAACAACCCAACTTGACGCAGTTTTCCAAAAGTTTAGATTTCGTATATCCAAATTACGACAGCAGAAGTTACAGGTGAAGAAATTCTGGAAGCAATTCTTAAGTGATGAACGTCGTTTCGCAGTGTTTCTATAAATTGATTTTCGAAGTTTCTTGAATATTTCGATTTTTGAACTAGTATGCGTATATCCAGCCAAAGGTTTCCCAACCAGCGGCAGGTTTCATATTTCATGTTTTAACTTTATTATTCTTTTATTGGCCGATCAGAGTGGTCCCACGGTCTAGTGTATGAACTGTGTCCGCCCGCTAGAACGCTGGGATCGTCGGTTCGAATCCCACCAAGGCATGGATGTCTGCATGCGTTTATTCTGTTTGTGCTGTCCTGTGTGTAGGCAGCGGCCTTGCGACGGGCTGATCCTCTGCGCTAGGAGTCCTACCAATTGCGTATAAGATTAAGAAACTGAAAAATCGGTCAAGGTCCAACAAATGGCTGTAGAGCCATGGATACGTAGATTGTTCTATTGCCTGTTATCTTTCCATTTCAGTGCTTGCTGCTACTATGTACTTAATTTTACTGTTTGTCTGACCACCATTTTGTACAATCTTCAATATGTAACCCCGACATGATTTTTATCAGAAAACCTGTAAATTATTTCATCTACACGATCAGATTGTTTTCCATAACTTACCTCGCCATTCTGCCTCCTAAGAAATGTTAAGTGTTTATATATAGAACACGGTACTGTGCAAGTATTTGCATTTACGGTTTCAAATTCAATTTACGAAGTATGGATTATATCTGTGTGTCCCTGGTGTTCTTTGTGACACGTCGGAGTTGTAATCTGTGTTGACTGATAGGAAATATCAGTCCCGGATGATGGGAACAAATAAACTGAGAAAGGTCGGAATTTTATTTCTAACTGGTAGATGACAGAGACACGTCACTTTCCATATTCGAGATGGATAGAATCTCCGAAACGTCGGAGTTACACGTATATTGCGCAATGACCAATTTCAGAGACACATGAAACTAATCCCTGATGATAAAGACGAAGAGATTAACTCTGAAAAGAACGGTTTCTTATTTTGTATTGATTAATTACATGGACGCATCAGGTCCGTCCGTGACGATGGAAACAAAATTTCCGAAAAGTCTACAGTATTATTATCTATCGATATTATTGACCTCCACTGAAGACTCAATTGCATGGATGTACGTGGGAGAGTCAGTAAATAGGTCACAAATGGATATGAATGTAAAATAGTTGATATTCGAACCTAATTTCTCGACATACCTTCCACCAACACTCACATACTTGTCCCACCGCTTGACCAGTGCATCGAAACCCGCAGCACAGAAGTTTCTGACTGTTGTCTCGGCCACTTCAGCACCACCAATTCAACGTCCTCGTCATCAGTGAAACGTCTGCCACCAAAGTGATTCTTTAGCGGACCAAACAGACGGAAGTCACTGGAGGCCAAGTCCGGGGCTGAAAGGCCCCACTGTACGTGTAGTTCTTGAATTCTGTCCTGGGTTGCTCGGGCTGTGTTGTGTCTGGCATTGTCATGATGAAGCAGTAACCTTCTTGCCAGTTCGCCTGGATATGTTCTGCGAGTTGCGTCCCAAAGCTTCAACAGAACTTCACAGTACGGTGCGGGATTAATATTTTCACCACTCTTCTGAAAATGGGCTACTAGTACTCCCTGAGTATACTAGAATACAGTAAGCATAACCTTTCCAGCTGATGGCGTAACTTTAAACTTTTTGTTTGAAGGTGAATTGGGATGTTCCCATTGCATTGAAACACGCTTTGAATCGGGTTGGTAGTGTTGCAATCCTGTTAAGCGTACTCGTATCGCCTCCTTCATCTGCATACCGTAAGAGACGTTGCAAGGACAGACCCATTCGGTTCATTTTTTTTCTCGATACTTCAGTTCTCTGGGTACCCACCAGCGCACACATCCCGAAACTTTAAACAATTATACATAATGCTGTATGCTAAACCAAGGGGCACCCTAGTGCAGTTGCTACGCTGCCCAACGTTATCCTCCTGTCAGCTCGGATTGACTCTTCCACCCGCTGCACAGTTGCTTCTGTCGCAGTCTCAACAGGGCAACCTGGTCGGGCATCATCTGCGACTTTCGAAAGTTCTTCAGAGAATTTCTCGACCCAGCTGTGAACTGCTTTACGTGACAAACACGTTCTACCGTAAATAGAATACATTTATTTGTGAATATCCTTTGCATTGAGTCTTTTTGCCCACAGAAAGAAAACGCACAACAAATCGTTGCTCTTCAATAATGCATCCCTCAATCACTGTCGCCATTTTGACTACTGAAACTAGCCTCTAAACATACTCATGCGCGTCTATTACCTAGACTGTCATGAAGCTGGACTGTGCTGTTACCTGGTGATACATATAGAAAACCTGCAATGTCCATTACAGCTATTTTACTTCCATCTATGACCTATTTACTGACTCACCCTCATACTTCTACTTGCCCTAATCTTACGGTTAGTGTGAATAGTGTGTTTCCGCAATGTAAGAGGCAACGAACTCGTTACTTTTTACGCCAGTTTGCGTTTGCCAATTGCTTTTATAGGCAATTCGTCGAGAAATTTAGAGCGCTTCAAAAAGTACTTCCCATTCCCATGTTTGGCGTGCGTCATAACCTCGAGATTGTGTCCGTCTAGCAAATTATAATTTAGTCGCACCAATATACAATTTCTTCTGCCTTTGTGTGTTTTTCCGTCGTCCTTTTCCACGCGTACTAATGAGAACCCCTATCCAGCACTTACAAGCAATAACTGAGGACAGCTATTCCTAACGGAACCAACAGAGTAAGGGCGTCCCAGCCTTTCACATGATGAAGAAAACAGGTTCGGTTGCCATAACGTTGTGTTCTTTAGGATTCTGAACGGCGGACAAAGGCCAAAACTCAATAATTCCAAGTGGTATCATAGTTTCGTACACTTTAACATTAATGATTTAAAGAGGGGCTGAGAATCATGTACTATGTAAGAAAATAATGGACCATACACCTCAGTTCTTCTTGGAGATAACGATAGCTGAGCCGGTTTAGCGACGGGCTACGGATTGAAAGGCCGACACCCGACTGGGAAAGTTTTTTCTATTCTCCACAGTGTCCAGACCGGCTCTGGGGCACTCCCGACCTCCTATCCAGTGGGTACTGGGGGATGTTTCGCCGGAGGTAAAGCTTCCGGAGCGTGAAGCTGACCATTCGCCTCAATCTAGTAACGAGGTCAAGATCGGTGTAGCTATATTTACACTATCCCTCAAGTCTTCATGGCGAGGTGCTTAATTAATTAGGCAC